AATGTCCCTGTCCTCACCCGTCGTTGGCACGTTCGCTGGGATAGCTTCGGGCGAGAGGTACTTCCATTGCTCGCCCGGGTCGAGGGAAATTTCGGTAGACATTGTTGTACAAGATGCATTGGCAACGCTCGTTGTTGTTGCCGTTGTCGCCGTCCTCGAAGTATCAATGCCGACGTCGGCGTCGTCGCGGTCGTCGACGCGGTCAGTTGTCTGTAGTCACTTTCCGAGAGTAGCGTGACGTTATGCGTTAGCTGTCATTACATAACACATCGGAGGTCCATTTGAAAAACTCACGCCGTACCATGTCGATGACAGCTGTACTTTGACAGGTTCCTTCAACATAGCGGCATTCGAGGGGATCTGAGGTTGAAGCATGAAACTTACTCGAACTGCACCTGGCTCATGAAAAATCAAAACTACCAGAGCACAATTCAATTCTGCTCGTAACATCTTTCTCTGAACGAGACTTCAATTCTGATCAAAACGACTCGTATGACACAATTTAGTCGCCCAGTAGGCTAGTTTTACAAATTGCTTCTTATCTTAGGAGAAATACAGGCTCCTTGGCACGGCTCGGTGAACTCGGGGTTGTAGCAAGGTACATACATGCTGTCCACAATCGGACAGAGGAGTGTTCCGAGTAGTGTCTGATGTTTTGGTCGCAGCGCCCTCATCACAAGCCGACCCTCGGAAAGACTCCTAGGAAAGGCGGAATGTGTTGCATTGCTACGAAGTTACCCAAGTTTGAGCAAATGAATGATATATACAACTTTGTGATTGGCGAAGACACTGAGCGCTGGTGATCGAAAGTCCCTTCATGATTAATCGTCCTCCCATTAACGTTGGGCTAATCAGCGCTCGCTGTCCGTACGCTGAAGTTCTGTTGAACTTGTTCTTCAGTGTCAGTATGGAAATAAAAATATATGTATAATTTCTGTTGAGTTTGCAATGACTCATGCTCTGGGATAGTTGACTTGCCTTCTCCCGCAGAGTTGAGCACCATTTCCGCTCCATCATTTGAACAATGACCTGCATGTTTCGTTGCGCCGACCTTCATTTACTTAATTTAGGTTAAATGTTCCACGAAAGCATCAACGATTCTTCAGAAATTACATGCTACATATGTATGTGCAATTGAACAATGCACACATATTTCGCTCTTCTATTCCTTACATGTAATGTTCAATATCCCATCAACCTACAGCTAATTCTGCTCTGGACATTTAAGCTTCACCGGGTTTGAATTTCGTGGGGACGATCTCGATCCAGTACCTATGGAATGACCATGACCGAATTCAGATACATGACTGTACGCATGTGTTAATCACTCACCCATCAGGGTCCTTGATGAAGGCGATATGCTTCATGGTGCCGTCAGTGAGTCTCTTCTGGAAAGGTACACCGAGTTGCTCGAAGCGCGCGCAGGTTGCCTGAATGTCATCGCACGAGATCGCGATGTGCCCGAACCCGCGGCCCGGTTCGCTGTTCCCATTTGCGTACCCTTTGAATTCGGGGTCGGTCTCCGTGCCATGGTTGTGCGTAAGTTCAAGAATACCTGGATTCAAGGCGCATGAGAAAATTAAGATGTTGTGGGTTAGCCTATGTAGGAGGTGCGATAAATTGCAGTGGTGTATGCGCGCACCTTCGCGCGAGGTACGCTTCTCCTTCTGCGCCTCAAGCGGTTCTGCGCCGTTCGAGTGGTCGAACGCGAGAAAGTAGAGCGTGAAACTGGAGCGCTCAAGCTCTGGCAGGTAATGAACGATCGTGAGATGATGTATGCAGAATCGTGGTTGGACAATCACGCACTGTCCAGAAGTTCCATGCCCAAAACCTTCATACATCGAGCATGGACGAAGTAAGCTGAGGCGGTTCAAACGAATGTGATATCGATTCCAGCGCTTACTTCTTTGTAGAACTTGAGAGAGACATTCGGGTCCTTAACACGAAGCATTGTGTGGTTGAACTATTGCGCAAACGTGAGTATATGCTCTATAAACCATAGGAACCAACACATTCCGACCTTAAAACTTGCAGTTTCAGCGTTGCGAGCCATGTTTCGAGAGATGATGAGTCTGGGTGCAAGGGTTGCGAGGTATTTGTATGCGAACGTGGTGGAGAAAGGGATAGTCCGAAGGACACTCGACGGAGGTATTTCGTCAGTAAGTACATGCTGCGTGTATTACTCATAATTCGCACGACTGCTAAATCAGTCATGTACAGCGTAATGACGTAACTTAGAAGTCGAATTTGAGGACGCGAACTTCAAGCGTGGGGCGGCGTCTTTCTTCCCTCGCTATTTTCGCGTTGTCGTTGTCGTCGTTGTCGTCGTTGTCGTCGTCGTTGTCGTCGTTGTCGTTGTCGTCATCGTCATCGTTGTCGTCGCACACGGCTGCGGCCACTCTTGGTCCAGCATGTCGAGCTCTTCGTCTCCCTCCCAGTACCGCACAGTCGGCATTATTCTTGCAGTTGGTTCGGGTCTGCTCATTGGAACGTCTTTCGTCTTCAAGAAGAAAGGGCTATTGAAGTCACAAGCAGGTCATGCAGCGGGCGAGGGTGTCCGGTACTTGAAGTCGGTAAGCATAACAACTATCCTTCACATACTTTTGCTCATTTCATTTTCAGCCTATGTGGTGGACAGGGATGACAAGTAAGGATAAATTCAGTGATTTTGTTTCTTCCGCCGTCGGCTGACGCCACATGCAGTGATGATCTGCGGCGAACTTTGCAATTTCGGAGGTGTGCTTTCATGACTATTCTTCTGAAATGCTTTCTGACTTTTTAAAAAGCATATGCATTCGTTGAAGCTATAGTCGTCGTATGTTTTCTCCCGTCAATTGCAGCTTCTTTCTAGTTTTTTTAATTGTTGGACAGACCCCACTCGGCGCACTCTCAGTCGTCATATCTGCGATTCTGTCGCATCTCATCTTGAAGGAAAAGCTTACGATCTTTGGTTGGATTGGCTGCACGCAATGTATATTAGGCGCCATTATCATTGCTCTCAATGGTCCAGAAGAACAATCGGTTTCTACTATTGATGCGTTCAAAGACCTCTTCCTTGCCCCTTGGTTTCTCGCATATGGCGGAGTATGCATCGCTGTTGCCCTAACCATTGTTTTCTTCGTTGCGCCGAAGTATGGCACAAAGAGCATGATTTGGTACATCCTTGTCTGCTCGCTCATAGGTGGCATCAGCGTCAGTTGTACGCAAGGGTTGGGAGCTTGTATATTGACAAGCATCAGAGGGGAGAACCAGGTTAGTCTCCGTTGATACTGTATTTTCTATACTGTTTACAATTTTTTTCTACCTAGTTCAAGAACTGGTTTATCTACTTCCTTATGTTCTTCGTTGTCTGCACTCTCTGTGAGTCAAATATAGAAATGTTTCTCTCTGATTTCATCTTATTTGATATATGGACAGTGACAGAAATTTATTATTTGAACGTTGCATTGGCATTGTTCAATACAGCAATGGGTCAGTCAAATATATACATTTTATTATTCACAGCTGACAATCTTGCAGTCACCCCCACATATTACGTGCTCTTTACCTTTTTCACTCTCGTCACATCGGTCATCCTATACCAAGGCCTCAAGGCCGCTGCCTCCACGATCGTCACCATTGCGCTCGCCTTCCTCGTCATCTGTTCGGGAATATTTATACTTCAGATGTCAAAGATCGACCCGCGGCACCTCACGAAACTCGATCGCAAGACGACCATGCTCCTCCAGGCGGCGCGTGAGGAGATCAGGCCGGCCGGTGCGGATGGCTCCGACAACGAGCCCGATTCGGAGAAGCTTATCGAAGCGACGGAGGAGCCTGGCATGGACGCACTTGCAGGCCGCTTCGGCGGCATCGGCGGGAGCATCGTGCGCGCCCGCCGCCGCGCGACCATCCAAACAAATCAGAAGTACCGCAAGAGCCGGCGGCGCGTGGACACCACCGCATCCGCACCAGGTCCGAGCCTCACACGCCCAAGCACGCAGAGCAGATTCTCGGATGCGTCTACCGGGATGGACAGCGTGCACGCACGCCAGCTGCATGAGCTGTGGCGGGAGGAGCGGGAGGGGAAGCGCGATCCAGGCGATAGAGCATACGTGCAAGTCGTGCCCGCGGACATGCGCGCGGAGAACGGAAAGCTCGACAGGTGGCGCTCGGTTAACGGGCTACCGTTTCCCTCTGGCAAGGCTGGCAAGGGACACATCCTCTCGGACGAACCGCTTGTTTCCTCTCCAGTCGGAACTCCTACAGGCGAGCTTCATAATTCTTACAGCGTGCATTTCTGCGATCAGCCTATACCGCGTGGATGCACATCGCCGGTGCAGGACATCAACGCCGCGTCCCGCCGTTCTAGCACTAGCACCGGCTCACATACAGTGGTACTGCCCGCGTCCCCGTCGCCTGCGCTCGTTCCGACGTCGAACACGTCGCTGCCGAGTCTGCATCTCACAATACCTTCTCTGCAAATTCCTACTGTGAATCCGCTTTCTCGCGGGCCTTCCATTGTTTCATCTTCATCTGACTCGTGTCCCTCGCCGATTCTGGAGAGTGTCGGCCAGGGAAAGGAGCACGAGTCTCATTGACTGCGCTAATTGTTTGTTTCTTCTTGTTAACTTCTCTGGATCTCGCATGTAACCTATACACTGATACCATTTTGTATTGTACCTTGTCGACATACTCATATAGCTTACGAGTAAAAGTTAATTGACACGTCTTTCCTGAGGTCCTGCCGTGTGTTAAGTATTGTTGGCGAAGAATATTTCGTTTCATGGATTTCACCAGAGGCGCTAGCCTGATAATGCCGGGCCGGGAGGGAGGAAGGGGGGACGAGTCGTTCAGCTATTGCAAACAGTTCTTCGACGACGTGAATCGTCCTTCAGCTAGCACGACGTGCGTTTGCACCACTTTGGGTTGCATTGGCAACTTTTTTTCCATTTGCGCGCGCCGGCAAGGGCGCTGTAATGCTTATACCGCAGGAAAAGGAGTCAGATCGCAAAAAGAATCGTCACCTGAGCGATTCGAACACTCGCGTGCAAAGCACAACCGCTAACGATCCAGTCTTTGGTAGCAGGCGATCCCGTTAACCACTCCGGCAAAGTGACCAACAAATTTGAAGGGTCTCGTTTTCTCACACGTCCAGAGCATCAAAGTAAAGATTCATACATAACAGTAACCGCAAGAATGAAACCGCACGCGATTATCACTGGAACACAGTTGATCACGGTTGTGCTGTTCCCAACAAGCCTCAACAATTTGTTACTGGATGTTTGTAGTACTTGGGCATGCAGGAGAACCTTGAAAGTGTACAGAAAACATGTAACCTTGCAACCACAACATCAGACAAGTAAATGGGAAGACAAGTCTTATATTATTGATCAAGTCATACAAAAACTACATAATAAAACCCCTCATGAGTCATCTAATGACCTCTCAGCAACGGCTTCATCAAGGTCAGAAGTTAGTGTAGCTCCAAAAATTGCTGAAAGCCGAAGCGATCAGACGAGTTCGGATGTGTAATTTGCAATCAGCAAAAGACTGTGCCTCGGTAAAAACCTCACTGGCGACAGTACATGCCCGAGCACAAGAGATAAGAAACACAATTTGCTGACTTGCGCCTTTTGTACACGATAGGTGGCGCACGGACCACGGCTCGCTTATGGAGTCAGTGAGTGAGCCTTGAACTTATCGACATGAGTCACTAAGTTAGTATTCCAAAGTCAGTATTGGGTGTGTACTTTTGAGTCGCACGGCTGTCTTCAACACTTTCTTCAGGCTCCGTAAGGATGATGATCGAGGGAGTTTCACTTCTTTGACCTTAGCTTTGCCCTTCCACGCTTCGTTGACTCCTTCCTCTTCTCAAGTGCATTCATTTTCGTCCCAGTCCGATTGACGCGTCTCCTCGTAGTACCCGCCGTCAGAACTGTCAGAGGAATCGCAATATTCAGAATCCGACTCCTGCACGGAGTTGCGAGGCCTTCTCGCACTTCTCGCCATAATTCCGTGCTTAGTAGAGAATTTTTCGAGGTCTATGTGTGATCTTGTGTCTGAGCGTTCTCGTTGTCGGCGGAAGAAGAAGCAAGGACGCACTGACTTGGGGTGGGCGCTAAATAGCTAAATCCTTATATAAAATAAAATAAAATCCGAAATTAGCAACAGCCATGTCTTCTGCCGTGTTGCCACCGCAGAGCCACAAATTCATCTTGATTCTGAAGTCATGAAACGGTATGTCGGTGATCTCGGACGTCGATGCAGACATAAGTTCTGCGTTCAGAAATTTGCCCTATAACCAAGGCCATATCGTCGACGAGAACATACCCTTGACCATATGTCCCTTGACACCAATATTCAGATTTCGAGGTCTCGAGTCGCTATCATCACGGGCCCGGCGGGAGATCTTGGACGTGCTATCGCGTTGCGTCTCGCATCTGACGGCTTCCTCCTCGCTCTGACAGACCTCCCGGAACGCGAAATCGATCTCGTCTCGTTAAACGCCGAAATTGATAAAGCTCAGATCGCCTCAAAGGCCGATATACTATATGTAACTGGTGATATATCCGTGGAAGCAGACGTACAGCGCATCGTAGATGCGACGGTTGAGAAGTTCGGGAATCTCGATGTTGTACGTCTAAGCTGCCCTTTTCAATCCAATTATTTACTATACTTATGACCTGAGGTCTAAAAAAGATGGTGTCGAATGCCGCGATCTTCAAAAGCTTATCTATCGATGCCAGTAAGCTTCGTGAAGACCATTTTCATCCAGCATTGATCTGACAAACTTTACCAGTGGATTCAGAGACTTGGGATAAAATCTTTTCTGTGAATGTCCGCGGTATGATGCTCTGCTACAAGTGGGCCGCGAAACAGATGGTCAAGCAGGGAAGAGGCGGAAAGCTCATCGGTGATTTAGAGCAGGCTATCAATTCTCAAATATTCTCAAAACTGACTCCGTCGTTTTCGTAGGCGGCTGCTCTGTTGCTGGGCTTACCGGTATGTGCTGTTGACTCCATAGGCGCCGGCATGCCTTCTATTCCTCCCCGAAGACGAAAACAGATCGACTGACTTGAAAACATGTCACTAGGCGACAACTCACACGATCAAGCTCGGAAAGCTCGGCAGACCAGAGGACATCGCATGTCTGGTTTCATTCCTGGCATCGAAGGGCTCAGCATACATCACAGGTGGGAAAGGCTTGACTTTTATTTCTCTATGCCACGTTCGCTGACCGCGCGCACAGGCCAAACGTACTCGTGCGATGGAGGTATGCATATTGCCTAATAGCATATACATGCAAATCTTCATGTAGGATACATATTTTAATAAAATGATTCCATTATACTTCCACTGTGCGTGTAGCAACACATGACAAGTGTTGAAAAAGCACCACCAGTCTGATACACGGCATCCAGCTATCCTGCTGCAAACTGCAGAGCTGTGCATGCACAAAGTAGATTCGGATGAATTCACCCTCCTGACGAAGAAGCGGAGCGAGTCGATGCACCAAGTGTACAAACTCTGAAGAGCAACTGGTAGTCTTCGGAAGCCTTCGGTATTCGCTGATGAATAGTCATTGAGATGTGCAACGCATCTGAAGCGCCGACTCTGCAAAACTTTGATCAGTATCCTAGATATGACCGACAAAGTGATCGAAATACATACTAAGCTCGGCTCATCTCAACTGAAGAATTGCAGACCTCTCACGAGACGGTCAACACTCGCACGAAAGTACTCGTTATCGATTCCTTGATCACGCGAGTCCATTGGCATGAGCGGGTTGCGTACGACGTACTCGAGAAACGGGCCGGCGTAGATCTGTCGCAGCGCGAAGCGTACGGCTGACGCGTCTGCCTTAGGATCGGAAAGGAGCACGAACTTGTACAGCGTTGGTGTCTCATAGAGGTGCATCTTATACGCTGATGTGCGGTACGAAGTGAAGCTCTCGTCACTAGAGAACAAGCGATCAGTATATCAGAAGGAGAGAAAGGTATACACTCACCGTTTAGACAGTTTTTTCATCAAATTCCTCAACGACAGAATCACACCATAAACCAACTTCGCTTCCTCATCGAATGACAACGCGCTGCCTTGCGAAGGAGGTGGCATTTGCGTGTTCGCATTGCCTGGCCCTGGCGGCTTAGTATATTCCGGTTCTTCATTGACAGCGACCACGATCCCTGAGCTCGACAACAGCGTGTTTCTGGGACTGCTGAATGTTGATATCGGCATTTGCGTGCCGTCCGCAGTAGGTGATTGGTAGGATACGGCGCGAGAGACGGCGGGCAGAAGCGCATCCTTTCCTGCGGGCTTTGGCCGTTTCGTGCGATGCCAGTCGTGGTAGTAGATACACGTACAATGTCTACGAAAAAGTCATGGTTATTTACGCGTCGGTGTCACAAGAAAACGCGAAGGTATACCTGTCAAAGACGTAGAGGCTGTAGACCGTCATCTCAAGATTGCGGCAAGAGGTCAAGCAGCACTTCCATTTACATCAACGGTCTTGTGAGTCCACGCCGATCGTTCAAGAATCGAGAGAACAACAAAAACGAATTGTTCGATAGCATCCAGCAACTGCAACAGATATCACAGACTAAATTACAAAAATGAATGAGAGGGAGGAAAAGAAAAATTAGGTGGAGATAAAAATATAATCGAATATCGAATATCCATGTACCCTCCTCTATGAGCCCTCTAAATCTGTCAGCTCAGATTCCGAATCCATAGCCATAGCTTTAACGGCCGCCTTTTTGGCAGCAGACGACTTTGTACCATTGACAGCAGGTGGTGCCTGTCCGTCACCAGGCTCCTTCCTTTCTTCCTCCTCGAACTGCTTTCGCAGCGTGTCCATCAAGCTCGTCCGCATGATCTTCTCCGTCTTCTCCTCCCCACCCCCAGCGCCAGATTCATCTGCGTCGCCGGCAACCGCCTCATCGAGAGCAAGTTTCGTCTCTCCAAGCCGGAGCATATCCTCCTCGATCGTCCCGCGTGAAATGAGCTTGACAATCTCGACATCCCGCTTCTGGCCAATTCGGTATGCACGATCTGCAGCCTGCCGATCATTATGCGGATTGAAGTCTTGGTCGAAGAGTATCACAACGGATGCAGCAGTAAGGTTGATACCCATGCCGCCTGCTTTCGTCGAGAGAAGGAAGACAGGGATGGATTGGTCTTCGGTGAACTCGTCGACAAGACCTTGTCGAACGTCGACGGCCGTCGAACCCGTCAGAACAAGGTGTTTGATGGACCTCTGCTTGAGAATAACTTGCAGAATGTCGAGAATTTGGGTAAACTATAGGTCGAAGCAAATGTATTAGCGCAATGACTACGGCTGAGATTTATGCAACAAACCTGAGAGAAGATTAAGCATTTCCTATCCTCCGCTTTGTAACGCTCCAAAAGTTCAAGCATGGCCTTGACTTTACCGGCCTCAACATAACAGCTCTCATCCAATAAGAACTTCCGTGTAGACTGTGATGAAGAGTTTCAATATGATATACTTCCTCGAAGTCTCATAGGATAGAGCGAACGAGCCTTGTACGTCCTGCAGAATGCCTGGAGCTCCGCGTCTGTCATGACTTCCATGTCCTCGTTCACGTATTCAAAAATGGCACCGCGCTTTTTGAAATCCGGCTCTTTCAGAAGCACGCGCGTCATGGACGCCAACGTCGAATCCGTGAACTGTGTGCGGAAGAGCATCGGGTGCGAAGCCGCTTTGCGAAGGTCCATAAGCACGTTTGACGTATTTTCCGAGTACTTCTTATCCTTCGCGCGGGGATTGCTTCGTCCCTTCTTCTGTTGCTGCTTGCCGTTCTGTTGCTGCTTGCCACCGCCTTTCGTGCCCGGGCCGTCCGGGTCGTCAGATGGTACAGTCTCTTTGTCTTCGGTCTCAGCGAGTACCATCTTCCGCGAACGCTGCTTTGCGTCGTCGTAAATTGTCTTCTGAATGGGAGTGAGGGGGCACCATTCAATACGCTCAGTCTTTTTCGGAAGGTCTTTGAGCACCTAGAACCAAACTTGCCTCAATTTCCGCGAACGAGGATAGGAATTAGAATGCGCACCTGATCCTTCCGCCGACGAAGAACAAAAGGAGTCATCATCATCTTCGCCC